AAGTGAAAAAGACTGGGAATGGATCGAGAGGGTCTGGGAATGGAGTGAGAGGGTCTGGGAATGACTGGTCTGGACTGGGAAGGAAGCGCTCGGGACTGGGAGGCTGAGTCCTGGGGAGGGAACTCTTTGGTTTGGGTCTGCCTGGCAACTGGAGCGTCATCAGAGAGACGCGCTGGGATTGGCTGAGGGGCGTGAGATCGGTGGCCCCAGCGGGGTGGAGACGGGGGTGGGGGCACTGGGAGAGACTGGGGTGAACTGGGAGGCACTGGGAGGTGAGAAAAGGCCAAGGGACGGGCACAGGGAGGGCTGAGGGGTCTGAGGTGATTCCCACGGAGGGTTTGAGGGGCTCCAGGGTCATTCCCGGGGCAGGGGCCGAGGGGACCCGCTCTGCCCCACGCTCACCTCTCCTCTCCACGCTGAACGGGCTGAACAGCTTGTAGTTGCGCCGGCAGACCAGGTCCACCTCAGCCCGTCTGCGCTCCATCCTTTCCGGGTCACTGTTCCAGTACCTGGCCTGGATCTCCCCATACGGGGTGTCCCCTACATAGACCCCCACATCGCTGTCATAGTGAGCGAACTGCTCCCGGTTGTAGATGTTCCTCACCACAAGCCTCACCCGCTCGGTGCCATTGATGAAGTGACACTCGTACGTGGACATCTCCTGGAACACCCCTGTGTGTGCAGGACACGGGGCAGGGGGTGCCCCATCACCCCCTCCATCATCCCTCAGCCCCCCACAGCAGGGTGGGAGCTCAGGGGGCCACCCAGGACCCCCCTTTCCCACCCCCCTCTGCCCCACGGACGCCCCAGCACCAGCTCCTGTGTAGGGGGGAACCCCCCCATCGGCCCCCCGGTCATGGACAGGGGGGTTGGGGACACCCCCAATGCGGATCCGACCCCCCCAGAGCCCCAGGGAACCGCTCCAGGGCTCAAGGGACACCCAGGGACCCCCAGGGCACCCCTCTGCCTGCTCTCCCACACCCCCTTGCCCCCCTCTCCCACCCTTTTCCCACCGTCCCCACAATCCCCAGACGCCCCCAACCTCACTTTGGGGCTCCCACCCTTCTCCCACTCAGGCCGGGCCTTCCAACCCCCCTCCCACTCACTTTTGGGGCTCCCAACCCCTCTTTTCCCCCCTCTTTCCTCCCCTTTCCCACTCCACCCCCATTCCCACCCCCCCGCTCACCCGACAGCTCCTCGCCCGCAGCCGGGGGGGCTCCCAGCAGCACCAGGACCGCCAGCACGGCCCCAGCTCCCCGCACACGCTCCATGCCCAGCGCCGGACAGCTGCTGACAGCCCAAACCCAGCCGGGCGGCGCCGTTTTGGGGGGTTTGGGGCGCGCTGGGCTTGGCTGAGGGCGCAGTTGGGGCCCTTTTTTCGAGGCGTCTTCCCGGCGACTGATGAGTCATCAGCGCGGCGCGCTGGGATTGGGCGCGGGCGGCGTGGGCGCTTTGGGATTGGCTGAGGGCCGTTGGGGGCCCCCGCGGCAGCCCCGGGGCTGGGGGGTTCGGGGGGTCCGTGGGCTGCGGGGGAGGGGGGAGCTCAGGTGAACCCAAAAATGCCCATCCAGGGAGTGCAGAGAATTGGGAAGCTTTACTGGGAACACCGGGAGCAGTCAGCTGGTGTTGGAACAAAGCAGGTACAGGGGGACACACAACCCCCCCAAAATCAGCACGGGGATGGATTGGGGGGTCCAGGCTGGGACCCTCAGCTCTCTAAGGACCCTCCAAATCCCTTCTCAGCCTTTCCATTTCCCCCCAAAGCCGCTCCCATCCCCAAAAGGTTCCCACAAAACTCCCTTCCAGTGTCCCCCAGGACTCCCCAAAGCCCCTCTCAGCCCTCTCAGCACCCACCAACCTCCTTCTCAGCCTCTCCATTCCCCCCCAGACCCTTTCCCTTACCCCCCAGACTCCCTCCCAGTTCCCCCCACAGCCCACAGAGCCCCTCACCCCCCTCCCAGTGTCCCCCGGTGCTGGGGGGGCCGGGCCGTACCCCAGTCCCGGCTGAGGGGGTGCTCCAGGCTGACGTGCTCCACCCGGCACCGGGGGGGATTTCCAGCATCACCAGCACCTGGTGGGTCCAGTCCCCGTTGCCTCAAGAGAGCGCCGAGGAAAAGACTCCAGGCCAGGGGAGTGGATGAGATGAGACAAAGAGAGCAGGTCCTTTAGTGGAGCCTCAGGCCAGGGGAACACACACGACGTGCACCCCCCAGGCAGTGGCTCTGGGATTTTATAACAAGGTCCATCCAACCCCAGATCTCTCCACCCCCCACTTCTGCCCCGTTCTGCCCCTAACACACCCCTTGGGAATTGGCTTTGGGGTCTTTGGGACCCCTTCTTCCTCAGCTTCATCTTCTTCACAGCTCCCACAGTCCTTGGAGCTCCTCCAGAGTTCTGGGCCTGAAGGTGGCTGTGTCTGTGTGATGTCTTCTGGTCCAGGCTTTTCTACAATTCTACCTTGAAAAGAAGACTAAACACGCTAATGGGATTTAGAGGGATTGATATGGGATGGGGTAACAGGGTTGGGGATGTGCAAACATGATGCTACAGGGTAAGGGATAGAATGCAGCTCCATTAAAATCTACAATCACTACACCACTACTTCTAAAATCTACCAAAGTGAAAAATTCCAAAAAGCTCTGAGGCATCACAGCTCTTCTTTTACAGTTCTATCACAACTTTTTATAAGTCAATCATATTATATTATAGAGCTCCATTTCTATGTTGGTTTGGTACACCTTTTATATACCTTTTATAAACCTTTTAATGCCTTAGTAAAATCCCAGGGATCTTACTTGGAACTCCCCAGATCCAGGGACTGAGAGGATCTCCATGATTAACACTTTCAATGTGCACTGGAATCCTCAGGGTCCTGGAACCCCTGGAGCACCAACAGCTTTGTCCCTCCAAGGGGTCCCAATTTGTTTCCAATGGTTCAGGAATACAAAATAAACCAAATACCAGTTTCCAAAACCAAATCAACTTATAAGTCCAGAAATCACAAGTTAATATCCAAAATACCAGAAAGGATTTCTTCAGGATTCTTTCTTTGCCACCTGAAGTACCCATAATACCAAATAAACCAAATACCTGTTTCCAAAACCAAATAAACCAAAGACCAGTTCCAGAACCAAATAAACCAATGAGTCCAGACTCCCAAATTAATATCCAAAATCATGGCTGGGCTTTGTGAATGAAGATTTGGGAAGGGCTCTGCCCACATTTGCTACAAGCACAGTGGTGGCTAAAGAGGCCAATACGAGATAGACACGTC